ACATAAACGAGCCTCAAACAACTAAACAAGCCACAAACAGCTAAACAGGCCACAAAAAGCTAAATATGATGCAAACAGCTAAATGCACCTCAAAAATCTAAACACGCCACAAACAGCTAAACACACCTCAAACAGCTTAACAAGCCACAAACAGCTAAATACGTCACAAACAGCTAAATATGCCACAAACAGCTAAACATGCCACAAACAGCTAAATGTGCCGCAAATGGCTAACTGATCCACAAACAGCTAAATGTACTGCAAACAGCTAAACACATGGCAAACAGCTAAATGCACCACAAACAGCTAAACATGCAGAAAACAGCTAAATAAGACACAAACAGCTAAACATGTGACAAACAGCTAAATGCACAGCAAACAGCTAAACCAGCCACAAACAGCTAAACGTGCCGCAAACAGCTAAATGAGCCACAAACAGCTAAACCAGCCACAAACATCTAAAACAGCCACAAACAGCTAAATGTGTATCACACATCATTGAACGCAGCATCACCTTTGTGAACCTGGAGGTAAGAAATTCTCTAAAGTCACGTTTCCAGGCAGTTGATCCGACCACAGCAGGTGATTCATGCAGAAAATTTCTCTTGGTGAATTTTGAAACGTGTCCATTTGAAAAACTGTTGATGCATTTATGAATCTTGCGCTACGCTTGTGTGACTGCTTTGGAGACAAATTTATCCTCATAGGTTTAAACAGAACTCAGGAACGACTACATACCTCCAGAATCTTTGATTTCCAGCCGACCCACTCCGCTGGTACTGGTGGCGAACAGAGACAACCACACCGGCTTCCATTTCTGAAAGAAACAATTCAACAGTTTTCAGACCTTTCACCTGGACACACCTGGACACACCTGAACCGCTGCCTCCCACACAGGGAAACATCAGTCACATCTTATCAAGACCCGATCCTTCAGAATAAAAGCTGTGTGACATTTGGACCCCCGGTTGGATCCAACGAGGCCTGAGAGGAACGTCAGAGTCCTGCAGGAATGTGCTCAAGTGTTCTGACTTGTTCCTCAGATTCCCGAAGGCTCGTCAGAGACAAACTTGTCCTTCAACTGACAACAGTCTGAGTAGAGTCTGTTCTAACTCACAAGAACCGGGCCGAACAGAGACTCTGAGCAGCTGAGATCTGTCCACCTCAGGTCCAACAAGATCAGAAACCAGAGAAGAAGACTGCTTGTCCCTCACAGCTCCACGAGCCGAGAAACACTACTTACTTTGTTGTTTTTACGTGGCTGCAGGAAAACCGTCCCGGTTTTGGTCTGAAAGTCCATCGAAGGATGAGATACTCCTCAGGAGACAGCCCTCAGGAGACAGTCCTCAGGAGACAGTCCTCAGGAGACAGTCCTCAGTGCTGCTGGATGACGCAGAGACACTCAGATAAGGAGTGTTTTCTCTTTCAGGTTGGGCCACGCTGAGACATTCCTGAAATCTGACACACACACACACACCCACACACACACACACACACACACACACACCTTCAGGCTAAACAACAGAGTCAAAGAGGATGAAGTGTTTCGTCACTGAAATATTTAAAACGAGAAAAATGCAGCAGAAATATTGAAGGTTCTGAGTCCAACAGGGTCAGAACTTCTGTCTGTCATAATATGAGCTGTGACAGAACCAGACTCTTATTCTGAATAGTATCTATAAGCTCAACAAGTTCTATACATGCTTTGAAGACCCGAACAGACCTCCCAGCACCAGACTCACCTCACCACCGGAAGAGGAGTTCCTCAGCGTGACCTCAGCTGAAGTGAGGAGGACCTTCAGGAGGATTAAGCCTCACAAAGTAACCGGCCCAGACAACATCTCAGGGGAGGTGCTGAAAGACTGTGCCGATCAGCTCTGTGAGGTGCTGGCCGACATCTTTAACTCCTCACTTACCCTGGCAACAGTTCCCACCTGCCTGAAGACTGCCACCATCATCCCAGTCCCAAAGAGTTCTACTGTGACTGGTCTGAATGACTACCGGCCAGTGTCCTTCACCCCGATAGTTATTAAATGCTTCGAAAGACTGCTCATGACCCACATCAAAGCTACCATTGACATCAGCGAGGATCCTCACCAGTATGCATACTGCAGGAATCGATCAACAGAAGACACCATCTCCTTTGTGGTCCACACTGCTCTCACGCACTTGGAGCAGTGGACCTGGACCTACGTCCATATGCTCTTTGTGGACTTCATGTCTTTCCTTCAACACCATGATGCTCCAAGCCCTGATGGACAAACTACTCACACTAGGACTAAGCCCCTCTATTTGCAACTGGGTCCTGGACTTCTTAACAAAGAGACCACAGTCAGACTTCTCCTCCACCATAACCCTCAGCACTGGCTCACCCCAGGGCTGTGTGTTGAGCCCTCTCCTGTTCACTCTGCTCATGTGCCACTTGATTGTTTGTTGATTTGTGCTGCTGACTATCCATGCTGCTGAGCTCATGCTGCTGATTTATTTCATGCTGCTGTGTTCATTCGTACTCATCTGCTCACACAGACTCATGTTCGTGCTGCTGTTGTTCGGCGTATTGTTTTTGCACTACTAAGTGTTTAGTGCATTTCTTAGTTCATATCTTAGATCTTATTATTGTTTTTCTTTACAATTTATACTTTTGTTGGATGTAACTGGGACCCCGTGTACACAATTTCGTTCCACCACATGTACCACATGTGATGTGAATGACAATAAAGAAATCTTGACCTTGACCTCCAGGCTCTTCCTGTTTCCTGCTGACCCTCAGACTGAATCCTTCTGAACACCAGAGAGATCTGTGGGGGCAGCCATGATGGAAACAGGAGGAAAAAAGCATGCTGGGTAATAGAGAATCTGCTGAGGTCGTCATGGTGATTCCCTCCTTTATTAAGAAGTAGAAAGGGGAGGGTCAGCACCCAGCAGCACTGCAGACAGAAACACAGAGTAAAAAGTAAGCCTCATTCAAACCGTCTCTGTGTGAAACCTAGAAGTTGGACCCGTGATCAGCAGAAGGTTCTGATGATACCACAGGTTCAGTTTGATGGCTCTGCAGCGTTTGATGGAGCAGATATAATTCATTACAGTCACATTAGTCACGGATTAAAACTTTATAATTTATTCAAACCTGAGAGTAAAAATCAGAAAGTGTTCTTCAGGGAGGAGGGAGCATGAATTATCCAGAACCACAGGCGGTTCAGAACGCAGCAGCAGGAAAGGGCACGGCTAAATATACCAAGGTTCTGTGAGCTCACCGGAACTGGACCTGCTGCTCTGAAGCCACATTCTAAAGCTGAGGAGGACCTTCTGCTGCTGGAGGATCAGGTCCAGTCAGTTTGAAACTGAGCCCACACAGAGCTTTCCAGGTTTGTTCTGGGTCACATTCTGGATTCTTCTTGAGATCTTTAGTTTTATTCCTGAACGCGGTGCCCCTCCCCCTCAAACCTGATCTCACCTGGTGCCACTGATCTCATCCACCCGGGCCTTCAGGTCTCCTGGTACACTGACGTGGTTCTACTCTCTGCTTGGTTCTCCTCAAAGTGTACGTTTGATCCTTTCTGTAATCACAGGTTCTTTCATCAAATCAAACAGCGGGCAGAAACTTCAGAGTGTTCTTATGGGTTTTGTTCCTGGAAGAACTCGTGTTCTGTTCCAGCATGACCAGGCAGGTCTAAGAAGGTCTGGCTCCTGGCCTCCAGCTCCGTACGTTCAGCCAGACGTGACCTTCAGACCTGCAGAGCAGCCGCAGGACGAGGACGTCTTCTGTAAGGTCAAAGTTAAACGTCTCCACATCAGAGCCAGGAGAGCACCTCCACCCTGATCCTATGAAAATGGTGTGTCTGAAACATCAGAACGTGTTCCTGCACGAGTCTCGAGGTCAAAACACCGAAGAAAAACATGAAACAAGACGCTGCAAAAACAAGAACATTAAAAACTACAATCATCACACATCAGATCCAGGAAATGTTGAGTGAGAGGAGTAGCACTCACCTAAACCCTCCACCTGTAGACCTCTGGTCCTCCACCTGTAGACCTCTGATCCTCCACCTGTAGACCTCTGATCCGCCACCTGTGGAACTCTGATCCTCCACCTGTAGACCTCTGATCCTCCACTTGTAGAGCTCTGATCCTCCACCCGTAGACCTCTGATCCTCCACTTGTAGAGCTCTGATCCTCCACCCGTAGACCTCTGATCCTTCACCCGTAGACCTCTGATCCTCCACATATAGACCTCTGATCCTCCACCTGTAGACCTCTGATCCTCCACTTGTAGAGCTCTGATCCTCCACTTGTAGACCTCTGATCCTCCACTTCTAGTCCTTTGATCCTCCAAGTAGACCTCTGATCCTCCACCTGTAGACCTCTGATCCTCCACCTGTAGACCTTTGATCATCCACTTCTAGTCCTTTGATCCTCCAAGTAGACCTCTGATCCTCCACCTGTAGACCTCTGATCCTCCACCTGTAGACCTTTGATCATCCACCTGTAGACCTTTGATCATCCACCTGTAGACCTTTGATCCTCCACTGGTAGACCTCTGCTCCTCCACTTGTTGACCTCTGATCCTCCTCCCGTAGTCCTCTGATCACAGCAGCAGGATCAGGTTCCTCTGAAGTAGCTGCTTGAGTCTGAAGGAAATCCTTTAGAGCTCCTCATCTTGAGTTCCTGTTGAACAGTCATGTGATCTTCCTCAGGAGGACACGGGTCAGGAGATATTTGTCAGATATACTGTCCAAGGAGCCGACCTTTCCTCTGGGGAGGATGGACCAACCTTCAAGTGGAGTCCTTCTGACTGACAGCTGCTCCAAACCTGCGAATGACTGAGTTCTTCTTGAAGAATCGGTCCGAAGTTCTGATGGACAGAAACCCTTGAAGGGCCCTGGGCCCTTCAGGTCACTACATCTCTGCCTGTCTCTGTGGTTCTGATTCAGGTTGTTCCTGCAGCAGAGACCCATCAGAGTCCAGACCCACCAGAATCCAGATCCATCAAAGCCCTGACATGTCAATGTCCAGATCCATCAGAAGGGATGTTCCTGATCCAGTGCAGCAGGTTTACCTCAGCTGAAAGAGCACCCAGAGCTGGACCAACAAGAGCTCCTCATCCTGAAGATGTTTCCTCTCATCCACAGCAGAAGGAGACCCGTTCTAGAGTTGACCCTGGAACCAGGCCCAGTTTTCATTCTCTGAATGAGACCAATCCCTGAACCACCAGTCCATCTTGGAGGACAAAGTTCAGGAACAGATTTTTGAGTTTTTCCACAGATAACAATTTAATCGCAGTTTGAACTTGATCTAGTTTTAGAACTGGATCAAAGACTTCTGACACCAAAAAAATAGGTGAAATATCCCTTTAATAAACTGAGGATGGAATCAGACGCCTGAGTTTTACTGTAGTCCCACCTGAAGACATGTTCTCAGGTCCTCCTCAGGTCCTCTTGGGTCTCTTCATGTTCTCCTTTGGTCCTTCGCAGGTCCTCTCAGGTTCTCCTCAGGTTAATCTCAGACCCTCCTCAAGTCTCCTTAGTCCTCTTCAGGTCCTCTCAGTCGCTTCATGTTCTCCTTTGGTCCTTGGCAGGTCCTCTCAGGTTCTCTGGTCTCTTTAGTCATCATCAGGTCCTCCTCAGGCCTCCTTAGTCCATCTCAGGCCCTCTCAGGTCTCTTCATTTTCTCCTTAGGTCCTCACAGGTCCTCTCAGATCTTCTCAAATCTTCTCATGTTCTCCTTATATTTTCTCAGATCTTCTCAGGTCCTCTCATATCTTTTTTGGACCACCTCAGATCCTCTCAGGTCTTCTCAGGTCCTCTCAGGTCTTCTCAGTTCCTCTCAGATCCTCCTCAGATTTTCTCAGGTCCTCCTCATGTCTGCTCAGGTCCTCCTCAAGTCTTCTCAGGTCTGCTCAGGTCTTCTCATGTCCTCTCAGATCCTCCTCAGATCTTCTCAGTTTCTCTCAGGTCTTCTCAGGTCCTCCTCAAGTCTTCTCATGTTTTCTCAGGTCCTCCTCAGGTCCTCTCAGGTCTTCCTCAGTTCCTCCTCAGGTCCTCTCAGATCCTCGTCAGATCTTGTCAGGTCCTCTCAGATCTTCTCATCTGCTCAGGTCCTCTCAGGTCCAACTGATGAAGCTCAGATGAAGAGGGAGACAGGTGGAAGCAGACGTAGAGGTTCTGGATCGATCTGGTTTGTGTGATCCGGATCAGTGGACCTCTAGGTTCTGCTGTCAAAGAATAAAACAGAGGAGCTGATTGGCTGAGCTTCCGGTCATTTGGGCCAATCTGGGCCGGGGGCGGGACTTTCTGACCCTCCTGCTCCTCGTGAGAGCTCAGGAGAGCAGACTGAACAGCTGCTGGGTTCTGTCCCGGTTCGGCTTCGGTCTGAAGTGATGGCACGTAACAGAACCTCCTGACTTCTG